AGCACTTCCTTGTGAGGCTCACTTGTCGCTCAGAGGTGCATCACAACGACCAAAAAACTGAAGACGTGATCGGAAAACTGGAATATGAAACACAGAGTGCGGCGTTTAAGCTCATGAAAAATTGGATTTGGATTTTAAAATCTGCAAAATAATAAGGAAGTAAAGAGTTATAATGAATGATTTGAACAAAGTAAAATATTTGTAATAGAAGGAGTAAGGGCCACGACATGGATAAACTTTAATAAAGAGCAAATATATTAAACTTTACTAAAGTAAACAAACTAGACCAGGAAAGTTAAACTCATTTCACATTGTGGGCCACATACAAACTACTTTGATCTTAAGTGGGCCGAACCAGTAAAACCTAAAACTTTTAATGGCTGAGATATCTAACATTAAAAAATAAGAAGTGCATGCTGTGCCCAACAGTACGTCTTGGTTGTTTACATGCTAAAGAAATGCTGCTGTAGTAAATGAAAGAAGTCTGTCAACAAGGCTCTTTCGGCTTAAGTTGTAAGAAATAAATGTGTAAAAGTACAGAAAGATCTGTAGCATGTCATTGGACAGTAATTATAACTAACAAGGTTTTTTATTAACTCACAGAAACCGTTCTATTTTTATTTATGTAGTTAAACCACTGTACCCATCAGAAATTTTTACAGTAGATAATAAAAAAAACCAGTTACTTAATTACGTTGGTTTAGTATTAATAACCATGGGGGAGGTTTTTATCAGTAGAAGTTATGAAAATACAGCTAAAACTCAAAGTTATTCACTCCTCCACATTTTCCAAAGTCATCCAGTGGGCCAGATGGGAGTCTTTTTGGGGACCGATTCTGGCCCCTGGGCCTTATGTTTGATGTGTGATTCTGGAGAAATCGTGGGGGGTTGCTGCTACTGCCGGACTCAGTGTGTGTAGGTTGATGCTAAAGAGCTGGAGGTAAACAGGTTGGCTTCAAAAGCTGAAGGGAGAGAGCAGTTTCATACTTGTAAAAAGTTAAAACAAAGCTAAATAGAAGGCTTTTATGTTGAAAATCTGGCACCTCAAAGCATTTTTTAAATTTCACAGCTTTAAAAGGCTAAAAGTCACAGTGGGAGTAACCCTCATGTTTGATTTGGCAGATTTATTTATTTATTTTTTATATATCTTCATTTTTTTACATTATAGAGCCACCATCGAAGCCTCTTTGTAGCTTTCATTGAATACTCAGTCTTTTATTTTGAAAATTAGACACAGTTTTTGTGAACCCAATAACTTCCTGGAATTAAACGAGGCTCTTATGTTAAAAAAATCACAGATTTTTAAAGCGCACAGGTATTCAATTGAGAAAAACAAAGGCTTTTATTTTGAAAATCTGACACACACACCTGTGACCTGCTGTTAAAAACTGTCAGGCTCCAGGAATGTCGTGAGTTGATCCTATTGACCCTATCCTATCCACGCTGTTTTCCAATGGCGTTGGGACTACAAAGAACCAATCACAGTGCATGGTGCCAGCATTTGGACCCTCTCTTTATTGTCACTTAAAATAACCTGAAGCTTACCTTAGTGATGGAGCATACTCTACATACCTGGCTGTAAATGTAACTGTTCAAGTATGAACTACATGCCATGAAAATATGTCTTGGTTTCCTGTGGCCTTCTTCCCGGTTCCTGGTTCTTCAAGCGGGCGATGATGTAAACGGGAGATAAAATGCCTTACGTGCTTCAGCCATGAGTTTGGGGTATGTTTTCTTTAACTGTTAATCATCTACCCCAACCGGTCACGGCAGATGGCTGCTTCTTCCAATTTTGTCTTTTGGTTTTCATTCAAGTAAACAAACTATTCTGGAGTAAAAGGACAGTGTAGGCTTTACCACACGCTGCGAGTTGTGACGTCTTTTGGGTGAAATTAAATGATAACGCAAACTTTTTTATAGGCAGCAGAGGTCAAACTTCTCTTTGAACTCACCTTGAACTGCAGGCCATTTCTTCATTGACCGCTTATCTGCAGTTTGAACAGGATAAGGAGGCTGTTGTGTCTTATCTCTGTGTGATTATCTGATAACAGTTTTCTGTTTTTTGTTTTTTTTTATCAATCTGTGTTACTTAGATGGAGTGTGATGACATACGAGGTGCCCACCACCAATAAACAGACGCCGATAGTGAAGGAAGAGGACTGCATCGATTCTCCTCTACAGGTAAATCACCCCGCACGGCTCCTTTTTTTTGTTTTTGTTTTTAAAAAAGAGGCTGTCTGTCTCTTGACAGATGGTGACCATAAATGGCTGAGCTTCCAAGCTCGCTGAAATTATTTTGGAAAACATCCGCTGAGAATCAATTGAGCCTGGCAGCTGGAAACCAAAGCAATCAGACTCAAACCACGGGGAGCGGCGGTGATATCGACAAGGGGCAGCTCTGTGTTTTCAATTCAAGCTGAGCGCTGCCTCTCAAATGCCAGATATGCAGTAGATGGTGGTTAACGTGCTAAAATCATCTTCACTCACATAAATTAATCCTCTTTACTAAATGATTTTGCCATTGCAGTAAAATTCCAAAGAGTTTTTTGAGTGATAAATGGGGATTGACTAACTCCAACCTTACCTCTTCTATAGGAATTAAGAGGGTAAGTAGAGTGAGAGCTGCTCATCAGTAGCTCTTGATTACCTGCTCAGAGTGTGCAATGCTTAGAGAAACAGCGAAAACCCCACAAGAGCTTCATCTAAGACTTTGGCCCACCAAAGACTCCAATCTGGCTTACTGGACAGCTTTTAAAAAACACGGAGGGAATAAAATTTGTAACTTTACAGCTTATTAGGGTTGAGCCCAAGCTCAAAGTGGGCTGTATATGGCCCTCGATGTAAAATGAGTTCAACGTTACTGCTCTCCAGGCCTCAGTTAAGTCGCGACAGTCCAGTCAAAGTCCAGAGCTCAAGTTGATGAAACATTAGAGCTGTGCATAAACAAATGAATGAACTGAAATTCAGGTGCAATTCCTCCATAGCGATGTCAGCGTCCGATGAGGTCACACAGTAAACGTTTACTTCACGTCATTGCGGCTAAAGGTAGCTCTGCGGGCTCTTGAATCATCAGGTGCACCTCTTCACAGGACTGTACATGCCCCGCTCTGCAGAAGGATTTGTTGCACAAACTGCAAACCTGGACTGACGTTTTCTTAAACGCAGAGGAATTCAGCTGAATTTCCTGTGCATGGATGAGTAATACGAGCGGGTAATTCATGCCTTGTCACGTCAAACATGACCTGTGAAAAGAAATCACACAGGTTTATGTGGCACTTGTGACAAGAGATACCTTACTAATCATGCATTTAAGAAAATGTACCATTTGAAAAAACATATTCGGGCTTGCCGTTTGCGCACAGAGATTTCTCCAAATTCTTTGAATCCTTTGACGGTGTTAGGAAATGTGGATGAGACAGTCAAAGCTTTCACAAATTAGATTATTTTGCAATTGCTCCACAATTTGTAGATGTAGTTATTTTGCAAAGTGGTGAACCTCTGCCCATGCCTCATCTCTGAGAAACTCAACAAATAATGTTCCCGACCCGTTGCTAGTTGCAAAATCTTTGGCCAAAATAAAACTGAAATCAATTTAATCTTAGTTACATTAAATCTGATAATTAATTCTATCTAAGATAATAATGTTAATCATCTTTAGGGGACTGAGTTTGGGTTCCATATTGCCCAAAAGTGGATGATTTTGCTGCTTCATTTCTAAAAAAAAGATATTAAAATAAAAGATCTGAGTAGGCATATGCTAGTAGTCAGTGGTTACAGCCTCTATTAAAAAGACTAAAGATAAATGTCATCTTAGGTCCTTTAAGCTCACATAATTAGTGCCAACACCAGTAAATTAATATTTCCAGATGAAAGGGAAAAATATCTTTTGGCACTTCATTAACCAGAGTGTTTGATTAAACTACAGATCAAGTTTCTTTGGTTTCTCTGTTAACTTGAAACCTTCCTCTCTTCTTCGCAGGTCCACATCACTCAGTATGCAGACTCCGTGGCCTCCCACCTCGCCAAGATCCTGGACTCGGACAAACACAGTGATGTCATTTCCTCTGCCAAGTACGTGCCACGAATGCTTCCAAACTCAGAAATGAGACAAGAGGGGAGGAAAGTAGTAGATGGGAGTGTAAAGGATAATAATGATGGGTGAATGAAGCCTGGGA